TAATTAAGAATAAAGAATTTTTAAACATTAAAAAAGCATTTGCAAAAAAATTAAAAAATTAAATTAAAAATTTAAAAAAGTTAAAAAGTTTAAAAACGAGCATCAAAAAAATAAATAAATGTATTTACAGCATTTTGAAATAAACATATTTACATAAAAGAGCATTTAAGCATTTTGTTTGCATTAGTCATTTTAATTTTAATAAAAGGAATGCAATTACCTTCCAGGGCAAAAGTATCGAGTTAAATCGAACAAATTTGGTGTGTAAGTCTACTGAAATGCTCGTTTTTAAAAAATTTTTAAAAACGAGCATCAAAAAAATAAATAAATGTATTTACAGCATTTTGAAATAAACATATTTACATAAAAGAGCATTTAAGCCACGATTTTCACAAAGGGTGGCGTTGAAAAATTTTCCGCTCCTTAGGGGGGGCGGCAGCTTCAAAAAGGTTGAGAATCACTGGTCTAGAGTCCTGATACGGGGAGCAGCATAGTAGCACGTGGCTTAGAGTTTCTATTGAGCCATCACCCCATGGACATAACCAGAGAGAAACGTCCAAGAGGTTTCCCAAGAAGTAGACCTCTTGGTGGTGTTGGACTACAATGCCTGTAATCCCTAGAGCTGGACTACACTGCCCATAATCCCAGTTCATGCTGGGGCTGCTGGAAATGGTGCCCAGCTGCTTTTGGAGGACACCAGTTTGGGGTAAACCTTTCTGTTGGATCTTTTGGGCAGAAAATGGTATTAATACTCTGGAGCAGCTTATTTTTAATCAGTCTTTCAGAACATTTGATGTATTGCAAATAGAAGTTGGGTTACTTGAAATAACAGAATAGCAGTATGTTCAACTAAAATGTTTTTTACTTCATAATACAGAGCGCGTGCTAGCAGCTTCTGAAACACCTAAATTATTTATAGTATAGGAAAGTGTTTTGGAAGATTCCAAACCTAGTTTGTTTATTTTTATATTTACTTGGAGGGTATTATTAAAGTAAATATTAATAATCAATATTAAGAGTTGAAATGTCCTAATTTAACAAATCAATAGTCTCACGCTTCAAAAATTATAAATATATCTTAGAGTGCAATTAATTTATCCAAAGATTACCTTCCAAGTTTACTGAATACTCAGTGGATGTTTAATAAGTGTCAGCTTTTCATGCTAGAAACGTAATATAGTTGAGAATACTTTGACACATATTACTTAGACCTGTGATACATTGTCCCATTTCAGTTTAATAGTCATATTATTCTTAATTTGATTTTGGATAGGGAAATAAGGCTTAAAGATTATATTATATTATTGAATTATGTATCAAAAATTTGGAATTATCAATTTATAAAGAGTTTTGTATTTATTAAGCATGAAATATAGCTTTGCTGGAACGATTCTGCAACTCTGGACTTTAAATCCTGGATTGATTTTGCATTCAAGATTTGTGTTCACTCCGTGCTTTTGAATTGGCTGGTTGTCTGTCTGTCTGTCTTTCTTTCTTTCTTTCATAAATGTTGTCTTATAAATTGGGATTGTTCTTTTTTCTTTTCTATTTGTATATGACAGCAATAAAATAAAGATGCATGAAAATATGTTTTCCTGTAAACATTCTGTAAGTCAAGCCACTAGTTGAAGTGCTTCAGAAGTTGGTAGTCTAGATCAGTGTTTCTCAATCTCAGCAATTTTAAGATGTGTGGACTTCAACTCCCAGAATTCCCCAGCTAGCATTCTGGCTGGGGAATTCTGGGAGTTGAAGTCCACATTTCTTAAAGTTGCTGAGGTTGAGAAACACTGGTCTAAATAAACTTCTGCTGCCATGAAGGGCTTTATAAGAGGTAACCAGCACCTTGAATTGCACCCAGAAACCAACTGGCAGCCAGTGTAGCTCATAGAGCAATGGTGTCACATGGGGATATGGAGGCATGTCCAGAAGTGTCTGTGCCACTGCATTCTGGACCAGCTGCAGTTTCTGAGAATTCAAGGGCAGCCCCATGTACAGCGCATTGCAGTAGTCCACTCATGAAATAACTAGGGCATGAGTTATCATCTGTAGGACCTCCCTGTTCAGGAACAGGTACAACTGACACACAAGATGAATCTGTGCAAAGACCTTCTTGGCCACAGCTGCCACCTACACTTCAAGAAAACCCTGAGAGTGTGCACTACTCTCAAATGGAAAAGTGCTACCCTATCTAGGACCAAAGATGAAAAGTTCCCAGGTTGAAGGTGCCCAAATGTCCACATAGCTACTTAGTCTCACTACGACTGCCCCTGAATCTGTTCCTCCATTCTGCAACCTGGGATACTAGGTTCAAAGCTATGAAACATTTTGAAAACCAAAACAGCTATTGTAAATTATGGTTGAAAATTAATCTTCAGATGTCAGCCCACATGAAAAGAAGATTTACTGGTTTGCAGACCGGGTCATAAATTTCTGCAACCTCTCCAGTATGCCATTATTTACAAAGACTCATCTGGCAAATCAGATGATTAATTCTAAATCTACTTTCCCATTCACAGGAGTTAAAAAAGAGATTTCTGTAAAATATATAAACCAAAGAAGATAGTAGCTGATGATACACATAACATTTTTATGGGGAAAGGTTGGGGGAACTGATCACTTTTAGGAAATGATTTGCTATTCCTCGCTGGGTGGACTGCTAGATGTTGATGGCTGTATTATGGGACAGAGCCTTGTTTTTTCCTTCAGGATAAAGTGCAAGGATGAATTTGTACTTGTAGAAGGAGTAGAGACATACATGCTAATAACACAACTGCCTTTGACCAGTTGCAACTTTTCTAAGAATGACAATCCAAAACTTAGGGAGGCGAGTAGATCTTCAAATACTTATGCTAGTGTCTAAAATCCAGTATAATAAACCCAGAGACAGAAAAGCAGGGAAAATGTTCAGCCCTGCTTGAGGACTAAATCTTAATTGGCATGATATGACAGAACAAATTCAAGTGTGCTGGGGAGGAGAAAGATTATGATCAGAGAAAAGGGGGTCCATTCCATCATATTCTAATAGAAGAATCAACCTTCTCCAGGAATCGTTATATGAACCTCTTGAGTAAATTCTTTGCAATTGGCAGGGCTGTTGACATCTATTCTTGCAAAGTGCTATGTCCTCTTATTCAAAGGATTGAAATTTGAATGCTCCTATAGCTAGAAAAGCAGGGACTGAAGTGATATGGGAAGAAATATATTCTGAAGAATTGAAAAATTAACCACAAATAATAATCACACCATTTTTGCCTGAAGACTGATTTGTGTATTGAGATGTGTTTCTTTTTTTGGTGGTGAGTTTTTCCTTGGTTCTTAGTTATTTAAACTGATGTTTTGAATGTCAGATAATTTCTGATGCTCTTTTAATATGTTAAGATTTGCAATGTAGAGTCCAATGAAATTCTAGATCAACAAATAAAACCTGCTAGTTCTGGCTTTCTGTGCTAGTTTCCCTCTAAAATACTTTGAAAATTGCTTTCAACCTTATACCTTTATGTCACTATGCATGTTAAAACAACAGCAACGAAACTTCCATTGCTGGTTGAGAGTGAAAAAACCAAATGGCTAGTTTTGTCTCCTCTGAGAATATTTCTCCATATAACCAAAAATGCATATTTGGTACATGCATGTAAGCATTCTGGGTCTAGAGAGGATGTTCTTATGTATGTGTGCAAATAAAATAATATGTGAGGTAATCATTTGCCTTGCTATGATTACAGCCACCCTGAGAATGAAAATGATGGCAATTTATGTTGTGAAGTTACCTACATATATATCCCTCACTCTGTTCCTTTTCAGGCTAAGCAACATTAGGCAAAGTAAAGAAAAAGAATAAAAGAGTTGACCAAAAAATGAAAGGAACAGAAAGGGAAACATAGCTAAATCTAGTTTACACCAAAATCAATCCTTATATTTCTCCATATTTTCTATCCTTATGTATCAATTTTCACTTCCACCAGGTCCATACACTGCATCACAAATTGCCTTTTGTTCTTTAAACCTCTTATTTCATGATTCATCAGCTCCATCTAACAACAACTTTCTCCGTCTTTCACTTCTGTTTGACCAATTCACTCTTTCTTCATATGCTATCAACTGGAAAACTATATAGATAAGGATAAACTTGAATCCATAAGACAAAGACATGAGAAGGAATTCAAACATTTTCAGAGAGTGTTGTAAATGGAGACTCATATAATAGAACAGACTGTCAGGTCGGAATTTTCTTGATGGGTCTTCTTTTGCTTCCTAACACAAAAGGGATTTGCACATTCCAGCTAATGCTTGAGACAGACAGGAACCCTATTGGCTTCTTGTTCCCAGCTGAAACAATGTGACCTGAAATACTTCGTATAGTCATAACTTCAATCTGCAGAGTTTCCAGAATAACTATACTTATATCAATTTAATCTTGTCCCCTTTTCCTCTTTATAAAAAATGGTAGGAAGGTTTTTA